TGAATCCTCCCCTGCTTAGCCAGGAGCACACAGAGCAGTAACACAACGGGAGTCGCTCCCTTCTCGAACACACGGATGCGAAGCCGGTGCAGGAGTTTACAGGCACCTTCTCTGAGCACACACCCCGCTGCACAGCGCCCGCGTGGCAAGTCCCTCCGCTTTGAATACACAGTTCTTGCACCTCAAGGAGCAGCAGGGTTTTGAAACACGGTGGGGCTCATCCTCAAGCTGGTGTAACCCGACGGACGCGCCGGTTTATACCTCCTGAGGATCTGGCCTGCCAATGCAGCCTTACCACTGGATTTACACTGTGCAGCTTCCTTAACTCATATTTGGGAGAAGGGGGTAAAGACGTTTTTGTTTATGCAATGATTTTGTACACTCTTGAATGTTATCTGCCATACTATGCATAACAGAACAGACTTTTCTGAAAACCAAGCCATAGTATCCCAGAGCAATTAAACAATTTTGTGAATTGACGTAAGAAGATATTTTGTAATTGTCTGTAAAATGTGTTAATGTCAGAGCTGTTTCTTGGTCGTCCTATATTTATGTCTAAAAGCACTTTAGTGTCTGGATTTTTGAATGTGGCTCTTCCTGTTTTGTCCACCATTTATTTATTACACATCCTTAAATAAAATTGTGGTGTACCTTTGGTTTTCATGCTCTGCATTGCGATTTCTACCTTCTTTTGGCACATCTAGCTAGCTTTGAGCAGATCCTCCGCAGACGCGTGCCTAAACTGGGCTGGAGAGGTCTTCTGAGGCAGCATAGTTGTTTCAAGGAGGCAAAGTAAAGCCCCTCGTGTGTCTCCCCAGAACTGAGGTCTCGTCCAGTGGCCTCCACGTGAGTGATCTGTGTCGGTCAAAGAGCCAAACCACAGCGGATGGGTTAGGAGATGGTCCGAAATGCAGCACTCGCCTAGCTCCTGAGGGAAGTTATGAGGAAAGAGTTGCTCCATTCTCCCAAGAGCTGTTGAAAATCCTTCTTGATATAACTCAGGTGTGAAGTTCTTCACTGAATGATGGCAGGAAAGACACTCTGCCTCTCCAGTCTTGTTGTGGTTTTTGGACTGAGGGTCGAG